GGGTGCTGGTAAATATTTGGGCGAAAACTTAGAAAATGGTTGGGGCCGGAAGGAAATGAGGCTCGACTTCCAAATACCCGACCACGCGCGGAGAAGAACCCACTGTCCCCTCCGAATAAGGTGACGGTGAGCAGGACTCCTCAAAACCGTGCAGAACCCCCGGCTGGCGGTGTGATCCCTGCGAGTGTGTGTGTGAGTGTGAGTGTGTGTGAGCATGCGCGTGAGCATGCGTGCGTGCGTGCACATGCATATGTGTGTGTGCATGTGTGCGTGTGCACATGCATATGTGTGTGCATGTGTGCGTGTGTGCACATGCATGTGTGCATGTGTTACCAAGTATGGGTGAGAATGTGTGCATGTGTGTGTGCGTGCGTGAGTGTAAGCATGTGTGTGTACGCGTGCATGTGTGAGCATGCGCACACACACATGTATGTGTGTGAGCGTGCGTGCACATGCATATATGTGTGTGAGCATGTGTGCATGCGTGTGCACACATACATGTATGTGCGTGTGTGCATGTGTGCTCGTGTGTGCATGCATGCATGTGTGTGCATGTGAGCAAGTATGGGCGAGAATGTGTGTGTGTACGTGTGCATGTGTGAGCGTGTGTTCACATGCATGCATGTTTGTGCATGTGTGCGCACGTGCGTGTGTGAGCATGTGTGCACGCACATGTATGTTGCGTGTGTGAGCAAATATGGGCGAGAATGTGTGTGTGCACGTGTGCGCATGTGTGTACATGTGCATGTATGAACATGCATGCACACGCATGTGTGAGCGTGCATGCACATGCATGTGTGTGTGAGCATGCGTGCACGTGTGTGTGCATGTGTGTGCGCGCGTGTGCGTGTGTGCATGTGCGTGTGAAAGGTGCGACTTCCATTTCCCATAAAACTTCGCGAGTGACGAGCGCATCCGGGCGGGTCCCAGGCCACTCCGCCTGCGTCTGCGGAGAGCGAGTCTCACGCACACAGGTCTTTGTAGCTGGCGTGAGCACCGGCCCGACGGAGGGAGCTGAAATCGGGGCGCCCCACGGAGATCGGGGCGATTCACGGAGGCATCTGCGAGAGCCACCATTTCAAGATGCCAACGGGCCAAAAGTTAAGTCAGTCTCGGCCTCGCCCCGGCCGCTCAGGCGTCCTCGAGGACCCGGACGCCACCGCAGGGGGCCAGGTTTGCTCTTTGCAATCGGCGCCTCTGTTCGAGGCACTTCGACTTGGAGCGAGGCCCGCGAAGGCGTTTACACGCCCTCCCCAGGGGCGCGGAGCGCACCTCGCTGGCGATTCGGAACTGTCGCTGCCCTCTGAAGCCGAAGCTTCGGGTCTTTAGTTGGTGGCTGTAAATGGCCTAAACCATGGTCTATATAAATCATTGTAGTGCGTAGACTACATATTTTCCTACAGATCTATCAGGTTTTAAGATAAAAAAATCTGTGTGCTTGGCGAAGGACTTTGGCCACAGAGAAGGGGGTGACGCGTGGACGAGCTGCGGGAAGGGAGGGGCATGAGGCAGGGAGGGGACAGGGCACGGAAACCGAGCACTCGGCCCACATGGAGGCCGCCGTGAGTCCACGGGGTGGGCCCTGCCCTGACGGAGCAGGCCGCTGCCCCCATGCGTCCACCTGCCCTTGCCCCAGAGGGACTAGGCGCGAGGGGCCGGGACGGCACCCCAACCTCGCCCCACCTCGCTGGGTGGGAGGGTGAGGAGGGACAAACCCCCTGCACAGGAAGAGGCATCCGACCTGGACGGCGACTGCGGCTCCAAAGGGGACAGAAGTCAGTGTCAGGGAGTGGAAGTGACCGCCCCGCAGAGGGCGACTCCGTGTGGCGACACCTCAGGACCCAGGTGCCAAGGGAGGGGAGGGGCTCTGCCGGCCCGACACCCAGTGCCCATGGCAGGGCGGCTCAGACGCTGGCCGGCCGCTGAGGAGTCTCCACCGCGCCCCGAGCCGGTGGCCTCGGTGAGCAGCGCTCCGTGCGGCGTGGCCTGTACGCGGTTCCAGTGACTGCGGCGTCACAGCCGGTCCCTGTGTCCTGAGGGTCCCGGGCCAGGCCGGGTGGTGCCCGAGCACGCTCAGTGACACGCTTCCAGGGACCTGAGCAGTCGGCCCGCTTAGGAGGCAGTCGGCACCCTCGAGAGAGGCTCGTCCGCCCCTGGGGTTCTCTAAGGACCCCGAGAATCTGGGGTGGGTGGTGAGGAGGGCAGAAGGGAGCACGGGGCGGGGGGCGCCGGGGCCCCCAGCACCCAGCACAGCCTGAGGGGCGGGAGAGGCGGAGCGCGGGCTCCAGGCGCCTTTATCACCCAGGGGGAGCCCGGCGGCCGGGGTCTCCCCGATGGCGGCTGTGCCCGGTCGGCCCTCCGGGAATCAGCTGGGCGGACGGGGACCACGGGGTTCACGGGGTCAGTCAGCCCGATCTGTTCATCCCGACGCAGCGAACAGATGACCCACGCCGACCATCGGGGTCCCCGGCACAAACGAGGTCATCAGCCATAAAGTACGGGTCAGTCACAGCTCGATATGCAAATTAGGCATGGACCCCTGGGGCCTCCAGGCTCTGACACACCGGTGACCCGGTGACACACCGGTGACCCAAGAGACTGTCCAGAGCATCAGGGGGCCACGGGAAGGGGCTCCGAGGAAACGTGCTCCTCGGGGAGCAGTGTGCTGTGGGGGTGCCACGACCCCGGTTCCGCTCCAATAACTTCGAGAGAAACGATGACGGTCAACACGGCACCGCTGATGGTCAGCAAACTGGGTTCGCGGAGGATGGACGGACCCGGACCAGGCCCGTCCTCCCGGCATTCGAAATGTCACTCCGGGGGGACCCGTCCCGTCACCCAAGTGCAGAAGGCAAAGCTCTCCTCCTCGCTCCCCAGATTCCAGGGTGTCTCTCCGGGTCCCCCGATCCCCACAGACTGTGTCCCACGGGGCTCCCGACACACTGCCAACCGAGGCCTCCTCCGACTTCTGACCGTGACCTTTTGAAAAAGATTTTCTGCACTTTCCTTCGGGGTAAAGAGAATTCGGTTCACTGCTCGCACGCATTTTTAAGCAGTCAAGCTCAGGACCAAAAAAAAAAAAAAAAAATCACTCGTAGAAAGAAAAAAGAAGGAATCATATAAATCTATGTCGTTTAAAAAGTATCAGATGCTGCACGCCAGACTCCACGGCCACGGGAAACCGTCAAGTTTCATTTTCCGGACGTCTCTTGAAAGGCAAAACCGACCGCCATCCGCGCCCCGTCCGACCGTGCGCACCCGCTTCCCACGCGTCAGCGGCAGGACAGCGACCCCGTCAAAATAAATGGAAAACGAGGATTTTCCCTTTGGAGGGAAAAATCCACGATCCTTTCAACGCGTCCCGGCAGAGATTCCTCCTCGCCCTCGACCTACCTGGGCGAACTAAGAACCGAAAGGAACGAACGCGTTCGCAAACCAAAAAAAAAGGCGCGGGCGACACGCGCGGACGGGCGGGGCCCGCGGCCGTCACCTTCAGGGCCAGCCGCACGGCGTCGCAGTCCTCCCGCAGAGGGTTCAGCTTCAGCGTGTCCCCCAGGTTGCTGCAGCCGGGTGACCGGTGCTGTGCTTCGCAGCAGACGCACACCTCCACCCCGTCGAACTTGATCTAGACGGGAAGAGACAGACTCCCGGTGAGAACGGCGTTCCGCCCTCAACGCGCCCCGCTTCCGGGCGCCCCGTTTCCGCCGTCTCTGAGGAACAGAGCCAGCGGGATTTGGGGCGGCTCAAGCCGTGGAAAAAACGCCACGACGGGTTACTTCAGACTCCTGCTTTTAAAGCGATGACTACGAAAGAAAAAATAAATCTAGAGCCAACAAAGCTAGACGGTTAGAGAAATTATAGATGAATCAGAGAAAGTATAAAAGGAACGTAAAGGGGAAATGGCTCGTGTTGATCGTGCGTCCCCCCGAGAGCTGCCTGCTTCTCCTCCGAGCCCCACCTGTGCAGGAGACCGACTTTATCCCCAGCTGCAGTGACCTGCGCCCTGTGCCCCCCCAGGGCAGCCACCACATCTCACCGCGACAGCGTTCACATGCCGATGAGCTGCGGGCATTCAATAAACGCTCCGTCGTTAAAAATGCCTTGGAGAATTAAAATCCATGAGAAGGAAAAAAAATGCAATTCGAGTGGTTTTGAAGGCCCGGAGCCTGGGAGGTCACCCGCAGGGCACGCCCGAGTCCCGCCTGCAGCCAGGGTCCAGCCCTGAGTGCGAGGCCACGGTGTCCCCAGCTCACCGGCCGTGCCCAGCCAGCCTCATTCGCTCAGGCCCAAGACTGGGTGGGGGGTGGGCCCTGCCCGCAAACACAGGGGCATCCTTAGGTCGAGAGCGGTGTCCGTCACAGCGAAATCATCGACCCCAAACCTTTGGAGAGTTTGTCCTTTACCCATTTAGGCTTCATTTCCGATCTTTTAATGCGATCAGGAACAATGATGATTTTCTTTCCGGATGTCTACGCGTTTGAGTGAGTGGCGGGGAGGGGACCACTTGGGTGTCTGGGATTGTCCTGTAGAGACTGGCCCCCCGTCGGGGGATGAGAACCGAGGGCTGGAGGAGGGGGCCTGGCTCGGGGACGTGGCGGGGCCTGCACAGACCCCCGCCCGAGGCCTCGGTCCCCCCGCCTCCGAGCCACAGACACACGCGGTGTCCAGAGCGGGCAGGAGCGGACGTTCTGGGGACAGGGTCCAGGCTCAGCGGGGTCACCTGCGGGCAGCTGGCCGGCCCGGCCCAGTGGGGAGGCTGTGTCTCCCGCAGCACGGTTTGGGCCAGCGTCCCTTTGCTGGCTGTGTAGCCTCCAAATTTAGTTTCTGGCCATCCCGGGGTCAGATAATAATTCCTTCTAGGTAAAAACCAGCTTGAGTTGGTTTCTTCACAACTCAGAACCCTGCCCGATGCGTAGCGCCTGAATCGGGGGCGCCTGGCCCGCTCCCAGATGGAAGATGCAAACCCCTAAAGATACCAGACCTCCCCAAGGAACGCACACAACACCGCATTCCAAGCAGACGGAGCTCGGCAGGAGGATTTTTAAGATGTCACGGAATGACTAATGTGCCAGGATTCCTAAAACTATTTGAAAAAGAATGATAATGGGAAGAATGGATGATGTAAGTGACATCAAACTTATTCTCAAGATGCTCTAATCAAGACACCGGGTAATGGCTTCAAAACAGCTCAAGTTCAACGGGAAAGAATAATTTCAGAAATCGGATCGATCATCTACAGGAAGTTAGTATAAGAAAAAACCAGCATTTTAATTCAGTAGGAAAAAGAGAGTTTCTTAATGAAGGCTGCTGGCAAAGTAGGTTATTCATCTATAACTGCCTGAAAACACAGAGGAATAAAATACATTCGACTGAGAATCTAAATTTAAAACATTTAAAATACAGGAAAATGTAAAAGAATTTGCATAAACACGGACTATAAAGTCCTTTGAAAATAAACCGAGACTCTCAGAAGCTATAAATTCTCAAAACAAGAGACGGAACAGGACAGCGCCTCTGGCCAGCTGGGCCTGGGGCGGGGCCCCCAGGACACGCGCGTTCCCCAGCGAGGCTGCGAAGCTTCCAGGCTGTGGGTCTGGAGCCCCTGGATGTGTTCTCGGGAGAGAGCAAAGAGCTAACACCCCTAAGAGCACCGACAGCGAAAATGGACAAAAACGCACGTGCAAAGGGCGTTAAACTGAGGACGTGCAAGAAATAACTTTATTCCGGCAAACTGGAAAATCTGGAAAAAAGAATTTTCTACGAAAACACGAATAGACTACGTGTGTACAAACGCGCCCCTAGTTTCGAATACCTGTAGGGTTCTACCCCTTTGACAGACATCCTCCTGAAGCTGTAGACACCTGCCCGACCCGGCCCCAGGGGAGGTTTTCCAAAACACGGGCGGGATGAGGTAGGACTACGCGCCCCTCGAGCTGGTGGAGACTCAGGAGCCTCCGCGAAGACCCCAGAAACGCCCGTGATCGTGAGTCACGCTACGACGCAAGGGACCCTGAACACCGCACTCTGAGAGAAGTAAGTCGGACACAGAAGCCACACGGAAAATCCGTGGAGACAAAAGGGGCTGTTTATGTCACGGTCACCTGGGCCCGCACCTGTGTTTTTCCAACCCAAAACCCTTTCTAATTAGAGGCGGCACACACAGGGACGGTGTGCTATGTCCTGTCACCTGCCAAACCCGGTGAGCTCTGATTCTGCCGTGCCCAGATCTGCGCCCCAATCGGACATCTCTAGGCTTCTCCCAGGCTCTTTGTCACGTGCCTGTGTCCTTAGAGCAAAAAACAGGGTGGCTTCAGATCCAACACCTGGGTGTGCGTTTGGGTGCAGGGCAGGTCAGCACCCTCCTCACTCTTGTCAGCCTCTCCCCCGCGTGACGCACGTGTCCTGCTCGGTGACACCAGGGTACAGACTTCCCAAAGTAACTGGTAAAGGACAAGTAGCTCCAGCAGAGGCCACCCGAGTGCCCTACAGTTAGGGGCCTGTTACATGATGCGTGGAACTTGCACCCATAGAATATAACTCGGGAGTTCAAAGAATTAACTAGATCGGAGGCTGGTTCTCTATTTTGCTCATGGAAGCGCACGGGCTGGCAGGGGAGAGTTAAAGAATTTTTATACTTCTGTATTTGGGGGATTTTATTATGAATACATTTCATTGGTACTTTAAATTTTCAGATAAATAAAACAAAAATTTCTAGCGAAACTTGTCAAGAAAGGAAGATAAAATATAAAGCAGGATGAATACAAATAAAAGGAACAGGAACTTAAAGTTGCCAGAAATATTTTAAGACAATTCAATGCGTTGCTTCACATTAATAAACGTAGAAAGGCCAATAGTACAATGAAAAACTGTTAAAATATATTGTCAAAAGTGATTCCAATGCTGAAAAAAAATTGAAAAAAATCTGGAAGAAGAAAAAATGATGCCTCATAAGAATTGCATAAAATAGCGCCAGAGCCAGAGAATTATATATCGAGTGTCGACATCCATCAAGGAACAGAAAATTCCTTAGACTTGAGTTTCTCAACCCATTTTTAGAAAAATGGCTATCATCGTGCAACAAAATAGGGAGGGGCAGGAGAGAAATGAAAACTACAAATTAACTGCATTGATGACTACGATGAAAAATCACAAATAAGATATTAGCAGATAAATTCGTATTTTAAAAGACCGTGAATCAAAAACAGACGCTGGGCTTACAGCCACCTGCTCCAATAACAGCTGTTCATACCGAGCCGGCTTAAAAACCCTTTTGATTTCAAAAAAA